ACGTTTTGTCGACCTGTCAGGCATTTCCGGAGATGCCGCAGGTAGATCACGGAGGTGGTATGTGGAACCGCGGTAAGACTGATTAAGGGTAGAGGAATGGTGGAAGTTCCCCCTGAAGAGGACCGCGTGGCGGCCGTCGAAACCGGTCGGGGTAGCCATACCCACCGGCGTTTTCAATCATTTGGCGTGTTTTGCAGTACACATACTCTCATGTATGATGATTGCATCGACTTTCTCTCTTGAGATCTCACTTTCTTTAACCTGCTGCACAAGGATGAGACGCACGTTGGAAAAGGGCGGAAAAGGCTCGCGAGCTAATGCATAAATCATTTTCTCTTCGATTAAAAAAAAAATTGCTTTTTCTCTTCGGTAATAAGTTAGTTTTTTTCTTGTCAGTAAAAAGAATGTTTGTGGTTGAAAAAAATCGAGGATTTTTGCGCTGTGTACCGGGACCTCCTCTGCGTTTCGGGACAAAGTCACCAAACGCCCAGCAAAGTTCTTCCCTTTCTTTTGTAGTATCTGTGTGTGTTCTGATCAGTTTCACATCTTTTTTTTTTTTTTTTTTTTTTTTTTTTTTCTTTTTTTTTTGTATCATCAGGTTCATATCTGGTCCGTGGTCCATCAAACCATATTTGAAAGAAAAAAAAAAAAAAAAAAAAAAAAAACAGAGGAAGTCACGGAAAACACAGTAAAAACCTTTCATGCTCAACTACAAACAATTCCCGCAGAAGGAGAAAAAAAAAAAAAGTGAGTCCTTCTGGACGTCCGTTAACATTGGAACGATACAGAAGATTAGCAAAATGGCCCCTGCGCAAGGATGACACGCTTAAAAAATAAATAAATAATACTAATAATGATAAAATTTTGGAACGATGCAGAGAAGATTAGCAAAATGGCCCGTGCGCAAGGAAGACACACACGCATAAATCGAGAAATGGTCCAAAAGTTTTAACTTGAATTTGCCTTCTTTTTTYTTCGAATGAGTATTAAAAAAAAAAAAAAAAAAAAGTCAGTTTTAGCGAAATGGCAGTTTGGTCTCTTTCTCCTCCTACCTGCCGTTACCTCTCTCTCTCTCTCTTCACACAATCCTCCGGTGCTGATCATCCGTATCCACACCTTCATCATCATCCTCGTCATTATTTTGCCTTATCAAACTCTGCATCCTAGTATTCGTCATCTTCTCCGCATGAACATCCACTTGATGCCTGTTTCCCTCCTCCTCGCGAAACTGCTCTTTCAAGGAAGTAGCAGAGCATCAAATACTCCTGAGCGTGTCTAAGGAAGATTACAGATGAGCGTCCCTAGGAGAGGGGGGGAGGAGGGGGGGGGAGAAGGAGCGGGGAAAGAAAGAGGAAGGGAAAAAGGAGCGGGGGAGATGGAGGGAGCGAGGAGGAGTGGCCTGGGGAAAGAGGGGGGGGCAAGAAGGAGGGGATGGGAAAAGTGGGGGGAGCGAATATTGAGGGAGCAAGAGGGTGGGGGTGGTGGAGGAGGGGGAGGAGACGGGGAGAGCAACGCCTCCTCATGAGGAGGACAAGCACAAGAGGCTGGAACGAAGACCGGCTTGTCATGCAGAAGAGAAATGCAATATAAGAATCGACTCAATCGAGCTCCTCGATATTGGGAAGGATGAGAGAAAGGTTGGGGGGGGAGGGGGGGGAAG